GCGTAGGGTATCCGTCGCGTACGATCTTTGTGTGCATGCTGTAACCATGGCTGTAACACTTTTGTTGACAAAGCAATGTGTGGCTAGGCCAAACCGTAGTTGGTTTACTGTTTGATATCTCTTTGTCCGCCGACAATTTGTAATAAAATATGCTGCGTGTTGTAAAGAATTGGAATTATTAGTATAACTATATGCAATCAGTGTTGTAAAAGCATTACGCATGTACATGGTAAAGTAGCTTATTCTAAAGTAGCTTATTCTAAAATCGCTTGTCCACGGATAAGCGATCCCTAATTCTTGTCCGACCCTAGAAACACTTGCCCCGGGTGTCAGGCAAGTGGGTTTGCTCATGTCAGATCTGACATGGAAATCGAAGAAGCACATGATTACCAAGATAATTTCTAAAATTTTAGTATTGTGCCGCTCGAAATACAAAAGAAGATGAGATTTCTTCCATTCCATTCCCGCATTCTTCCAAACATCTGTTCCCTACAACACAGGCATTCTTCGATCGTTCGTTCGCTCCTCATCGACTATGTGCTTCTTCGATTTCAACGTTAACTTCATGCCTATCTGCTTTGAATAAAAAAACCCCTTGGCTCCGGCCATTGCAAGCTTCTTACAGGCCGATGATGTACTGATTATGCATAGGACTTATTGTTATTTTTTTCGGCCCAGTGACGTCACGGTGAAATCGTATATAATGGCCTATAACTTCATAAAAAATTGCCAAAAAAAAAATTATTTTAAGGTTGATTCTATTATTAATGAAAAAAAAAAATCATTTTGCTAGTTCCCTTTTAAATATTAGCATAAAAACAATGTCCTCACGTAACAAATAAATACATAATAAAGACCCTAGTTTAAAATATCAAAAAAACTAAATTGTTGTGACCTATGCCTCGTTTTTAATATTTTTGATAATTATGAATTTTGCTATTATTTATGTTTTTTTATCGTATTTTTATTTTTTGATTTACTGTACATCTTTGATAGTTTAACATTTATTACTAATATCTTTCAAATTGATCGAATATATTTTAAATACCATTACAATATTTTTAAAATTTTAATGGTATTTTTGAAGTTTTCTATACTTCATATTCATGATAGTTTCAAATTTTGTTCCTAATGTTTTTATGTAACTGAATTCTAAATTGTTGTGTTTATCATACTTTTTGTTTTATTTTTTAAAATCTTTTTTTTTTCAATCACATTATTGATGTTTTTTATTTTGAATATTCTTAATAGAGTTAAATTATTTTACTGATGTTTTTTTTATAATGTGAAGTTGCCTTGGATTCAACACAAGGTACATTAACATTTTATAATTTAACTTACATGCACATTTAACAGTTCCCACTGCATAGATTGATGCTGCCCGAGGTTTATTAGTCACCAAAGCTAATTCTGTGAAATGAATAAATTACAAATTCAACAAATATTAGTAATGAGTAAATTCACCTAGCACAATCGTAATGATATTTTTACACGTGCGACAAGTGAAATCTCTCTGCTTAAAGCTATAGTATGATAATATGCAAACATGAACATGGCGCTCATTCAAACATTACCTATACAGTAGGGAATTTGTTAGTTGTCGTTGAAAAGACACACAGCAAGAATAAATTTTCCTCTTTAATCAACACAAACAATACTGCTGTAAAAATTGTTGACTCATTGGCAATGCCACTGTTTTTATTTTTTTCATCACACAACTATGTTTAACTTAAGCATGAGTCATGAATAATTATCCAAATCTCTAACTTCTTTCCCAACCCTACAGAAATTTAAATCCACAATTCAACCTAATTGCGAGTAATCCCGATCAGACACACCAACTGCACCCCATGGCGTCATGGATCAGTGTTTATCCGTTGCCAAGCTCAACAATTTTTAATGATTGTAAGCATATAGCCAGCATAAGGTATCATGTTTACACATGCGTATTACAGTTTACACGAGCCTGCATACATTTTTTTGTATAATGGTGTGAAAAAGGAATGCAATTGACATCAATGACAATGCCCATGAGCCAACATTTCAAATCAAATATGAGCATACTATCACGTTCACATATATACACATAATAGGATTATTTTCATTTATGGCAAAAACTATTAAGCATCCAACAGATATTCACAATCATTCACAAATCAACTGCACACAAGAGCTATGTGCTTATGCTAACAAAAATGAATGGATGTGGGCGTAATGCAAGGAGCGTCAAAGGGCTTCAGATGTACTGGAGTCATACACAATATCCAACGTTCTCCAATCCCTGTGGAATATTTCTGTCGTGTTGCAAGGATTTTCCAAAGTTATTTCACTATCCTACCTTGCACCCACTTAACTCCTAGGGGGAGAGAAGCAATAAAGATAAAGTGCCTTTCTCAATGAAGTATTCATGCCTCATAATCACCTGTATCTTCATCTTATAACTCCAACTGGAGTATCAATCAATGTGTGATTTGAGGCAAGAGGGGAGCCTAGTCAAAATTTGTTGGCAGAAAGCTGCAGAATCAGTAATGAAAATGATGGATCAAAAAAGAGGGTTCCAGTCTCGTGCCGTATTACTAAAGAACACTGAAAACAATAAGGATTACCAACCTCCAAAATACTGTCCCTTCTGATATACTGCTATCTCTTGTTCTTGTGTAGGATCATCCTAATGAAAACAAGTCATTGATAATTAGCAACCAATTAATAAGTATTTTAATCTACCAAAACAAACTAAAAAAACAAATGTTAAAGACTAACAACAACACAACAAAATTGCCTGGCTTTTTTAAAACTAATTTTCAAACTAATCACACAATATGATTATCTAAGCAAGTGTGAGTGTTTTCATATAAAAAAAGAATTAGTGTATAGCACTAAATAATTTGACAACACTAAAATCAGCTATAACATCTATTAAAGACAATGATAATAAGCTAGAATAAAAGAATGCAATGACTGAATTAAAGTTCAACAATTAATTACTGATAATCATATTACTGGCAATTATGAACGAAAATAAGTTAATGATTTCATTAAAGGTATAAAAGACTTAATATAGGTTAAGAAGAATTTATTAATTTATTCCCACTCCCCTGTTCTAACTATATAAATGATTTTTCTTAAATTTTGACAGTGCTCCTGTTACTGGTCTGTACTTAGTAAAAGTTTAATTTGTACAAAAAAAATTGTTAGTTGCATATTATAATGTATACTTTATGCATACAATTTAGTGGGTGTTTTAATTTTTAGCAAATATGCTTAGTAATTTAACTATTAATTGATCATATGCTGGTTTGAAACCAGGATATTTTTACCATCATTCATAACCAGTTGGATATTTTTACCATCATTCATTACCAGTTGAATAATTTTACCATCATTTATAACCAGTTGGATATTTTTATCATCATTACATACATAACATCATTTATATAGCGCTATTACATGAAGGTCAGAGCGCACAAAGCATGGATTATAGTAGCTCATACAGTGACTTTCTTCTTCCCTAAGGGTCATTTCGTGTCTGAGCTGGCCGGTACCATCTACGCTCATCTGTCTACAACAAGGGCTATATGGACCTGTACACCAGGGTAACCCCTACTCGCTTCAAAAGATGTACTGGGTTCTTATAGTGCACATGAGCCAATTGTGTGCACTGGGTCTGCGTTTTATAGTCCTTATCTGAGGAGATTTGTTTCACCTCCGGATCCATAGGCCAGCGTGCCATTCGGATCAGCGCCAATAATATGGCTGTAGGTTGCAGCGCCCTTGCCTAAACCGCTCAGCCATTCGACTCCCCAATCATTCATTACCAGATACTGATATACTTCATTTAACATCATTCATTCATCATCAATCCATTCATCCATCTACACAACCATTTGATCCCATCTACAGCATCCATTCCATTTAATCCGATCCATCCAACCATCCATCCCCTTCATTCATTCTTTCATTCATTGATATGGACATAAGAACATTTGTTTATTCATGTTTTCATACATTCACTTGTTCATAGTCATTCATGCATACTTATTCATTAATTCATTTAGTCTTACCTGCTTAATAATACAGTCTCCATCTGAGTACTGTTTTGTAACGAGAGCATCAGCTAGATTCATCCTCTCATAACTCTGTATAACATAAACGTAAACAACATTAATCACCATTATGTCCAGTAGCCTGTAGCAACAGTTTAGTACATTCACAAAAGTAGTAGCAGGGACCTTTAGATTCTTTAACAACAATTATTAATAGTGTTTTAGAATACGAGATATTATGTAATCAAGGCCAATTTCTGCATCTTGGCACTTAAGGTAAAGTGTACTCCAAAGCACAGACAATTAGGTTTACAAAGCTGTTTATCGACTATGTATGCACTACCGAAGGGGCAGGTCATGACTTCAATGTTTTACCCACCATATGTCTGTATGAATACTTAAAGCACTTGGAAGAATGAAGGTCCATCAAGCATTTGATCTCCAATCTAAAGTTATGGAGTGAACTCATGGGAAGGCACATTCCGTCAAGCAGTTGGAATTGCAACATTATGTCATGGAGAAATATGCAGCAATGATAATGTTGTACCCCTGGGAAGGTACGAACAATTCTGCAGTGTTTGACACACGTCGATGGTATTATTTCACGATGCATACAATACTCACCATACTTGTTGTTAATGACGACTGTACGTTTGTGCATGATTTGCTTTTAAACTTAAATTTCATATTTTATTGCACATAATATTGTTGCACATGATCTTGTATTCACAACTTTGCCATCATAACCAAAGATCAACATGAAGTTTAAGTTTACATATGGTCCATTCATATTATTATATGTTTGGACAACGTGGTTGGTCAATACTGATAGTGATTGGTTAACTCTGATAGGTCCCTGATTGGGCCACCCAGAGCATCCTAATTGTGACACATAGGTTAGGCCATAATTATTGGTAACATGCTGCTGAGGTAGTATAGACCCTCCATCTGTGAAAGTCCCTCCCTGGACCCCCTCTATTTCAAATTCCTGGATCCACCACTGCCTTCTTTAGGCCACTTTTAGAATAAATGATGCAGTTGAATAATGAATTAAATAGAAAAGCTCAAAAAATAAAAAGCAAAGGAAACATACTTCAAGAGATTTAAGCATTGGGACATTTTCCAGTAATGCTTCATACATTTTGCGCTTCTTAGCAGCATTTTTCAGCACAATTCTTCTGAATGAAGTTCTATCCTGTAAAAAAAAATTTTAAAATTATATAGATATTAAGCCTTGTGTAGAGCATCTGTGCTTACATGACTACATAGAGAGAGTGACACTCACGCAAGTGTGCCTCATGTAAAATAACTGTTTTTTCTGGTTCTTATCATTATTTCTTACTTAGTTGTCCTATTTTGACTTTTTGTGGAGGGGCGCCAATGGTGTCTTTCCCTAAACGAATACCAGCGCTTTATAAATTTTATTCTTATTATTATTATTATTATTATTAATGATAAGATTAGTCTCAATGCAATCCATTGCCTTCATTTTACAAATTTTGTAACTAGGTTAATATCATCTAAATTTCATTTAAAAATATTTATATTAGTGTAAGCTTTAGAATTGGTTATTTTTAAAATACTGAACGTTTTCCAATTTATTTAGTGTAGAGTAACTATATCAAGTTGCAGTTAGACGAGGAATGATATATAAGATAAGAAATTAAAGATAATTAATACTAGAACTGGATTGTATGGATTGAATCTTCTCATCATTACGCTTGCTAACGAGCCATCATTCTTGTTGCTTTATTGCTAATGCATGAATCCAAACTTGGCCATAAAACAGCTTTACTTGGTAACATAACCAAGGTATGAAAACCGCTAATGCAGCATACTTAATATATGGTTGGTTTTCTTATTACATACTCAAAAACATTCTACACAGTGACTCAAAATGATGATGATAAAAATAATTTTAAAAATTAAGAGTTATTATTTATATCCAAAATATATCACTTAAAAACATTTTATGAGACTTTAAAGTGAGCCATTGTTCAAATGAATTTTTGAGTTTACGTAATTTAATGCAAAATGATAATAAGCTTCAGTAAGAACTTGGTCATATAATCATATGTTGCTATTATATGCAGCAGTTCTAATAACTATACATACACTTTAACTGCATGTTACAACATGGCAAGGTCTGATTCTTTTTTTAAATCCTAATCTTATTTTAGTAATAATTAGCAGATTATTATACAGTTGAACACTGAAATGAAAACAATGTTACATGTATACTATTGTGTCATACTTTCTTCACATCTCTGAATCAATTTGCAAGTTACAGGTGATTTTTGACAACTATCTGGTAGCCTTTATACATTGCAATTTCCTTTCCCACATAAGTATGTGTACACAATAATTGTTGTTTTCTTCACTGGCATTTCTTGCAGCATGGCGGAAGTATTAAGTGATTGTGTTCCACTTACTAATGCCCATATCGTTCCATCTGATGTAGCCACAATGGTTGCTGCCCTAGGTGTGTTGTACATCAAGGCTAGCTCACCAAAACTGCCTTTATTATCATAACTTCCAACTTTGTTGTCATTCACAAATATGTCAAATTGACCCCTGTAAGAACATTTTACAACAATATTTTTAACAACGCAATCAAGTTTTTCAAAGCGTTGTCTTAGCACAGTAGGTGTTTTACGTAGGTAATAATGTATTCAAAACTACAAGTGACACAACAGACCTAATCAGTTCTCAATATGCTGCATTTGTTATACACAAATTATGTTTATTAACTTAAGTTATATAGTAAACTAAAGTGCAATTCTAAATGATCTAGGTAATAATTGATTTGCAACCCAATATCTATTTTGAACAGAAATTTCAAGAGATACATGTTAACATATAAGTAAGAAGATATCATTATCATCATTAATGATCAAGCTTGCATAGCACTTACCACTAAAGCTAAAGAGCGGAGAGGGCAATTTATTTTTTAAATACAATACAATAACTACAGATTACCGATGAGGCAGCTTTGAGAAAAACACCTCCAGGGTATCTGGTTTTGTTTTTTTCAGTAATCTTACATCTCATATCACATCTTGTAGCAAGTGTGTTCAGGTGTTTTATACTTTTACCAATTAATAATATAATGACAAATATTCTTTAAAACAACATAGTCAATCACTTATGTTATCTTCAAAATGTATTTCTTGCATACTAAGTACAGTTTCATAAAGATTACTCCATAATTTGTTTTTGTTAGTTATCAATATTGGATTTTCTATAGGCCAACTAATTTTATTATATTAAACTATTTTATATCATACATTTGTTTTGTTTATTTTTCATTGAATTATTTAACTTACTAATATCTTTTAATTGTCCATGTCTACTTCAAATTTTATTCTACAACTGATACCATTACAGTAATTACCCAGTAAGTTCAAAACAGATCATTAGTAATTACATGCTAATTGAGAATTACCGAGATATAGATTATTTATGACAGCATTCTCCAGGGGCAAACATGAGCTACATATACTGTGTTTAAGAACATACAAACTATCATGCTCTCACTTTACAATTTAATATGCATTCTCAATTGAGATGATCATGTCTCAACATTTCCGATCAACTTAAGTGGTACAGCAGGAATATGCAAACAGGAGCCCTATCATCGGCGCTAGTTTTAATTTCTTTCTTAAGGTCTCAATTGCTGAAACCAAGTCTGGCTTGTGCTTCAAAAAGGTGGGGATTATCAGTGTCTCAACCACTCCAGCCTCTAAGGATCTCACAGAAAATAAGTCTTCTGACTTCGAAGGTTGTTGTTATATCACACACAAAAGAAAAGCAGTCAAATTACAGGTGATTGGAATGATACTTACTCATCTATAACATAGAAGTTGTCGCCATCATCGCCTTGGTCTATTACGTGGTCACCAGGTGAAGTCTAAAAAAAATATTCAAAAATTACTTTCACATGCAATTTATAGATATTCAATATTTTAAATTACTTAAAAATATGTATTATCTCCATGAGTGTCTTAATTCATATAATTATCTGTTTGTTAATGATTTTTTTTTTAAGTACAGGCACACCTTTGACTATATCCTACACACTCAATCATGAACAAGAAAAGTAATTAATGAACCTACCAGCTAAAATGGTAATACCAAGTCCTGGCCCCAAGCAGATAGGAGAGTGTACCCTCCCAAGTCCTTGTTGAATATCATGGATTATAATCTTATGTTAGCAAATTAAGCATCTTGAACATATGCACTACGGCATTACTTTCAGTTCAACCATCATCTTCATCATCATCAACAAACTTTCATTATCCCTCTGTTCAGTACTGCATTTGCTTTTCATTTCAACACAACTTACAGGAAATTAATTGATGATGAAAACGGGACAACAGAAGAATAATCAATACAGGAGAATTTCATTGTGGGTCTATTGAATGTATACAGAGCAGTTATTAGTGTCTCCAAAACAGAATCAACATGATCTATTAACAATATCTACCCAAATTACATACCATAACTGACACTCATTTAAGTACAGTATACATTTTACAAACCATATTTTATATAGTAATATTCTATAATGCACAATTTGTTTGTAAATGCAATTTCAGTTTTATGCTTGATGAAATGTTGCCAATAATTAATTTTTGTAAATGAAAAAACCCCTATTTTAACATGGTATCTTCCAATTGTAAATACCGGAAATCATTCTTAAATATGCAATAGTTTGGCTGCATCTACTATCCAACATTTGCTAGAAATGTTTACCAGTATCTAAAATGTAAAAATAAAACTATTTCTTAAATTTAATTTTTAAAACAGCAAAATGACAAAAATTACAATAATTATTTTATCGAATACAATGGCAACTTTTTATACCAAAATATCACAATTTTTGTTGGCAATCGTATACAAATATTTAAGCATACATGAAACGCAAGTCTTTATACTCACTTTTCGTTCAAACATGGCATCCAATACATCTTGCATTTGTTGCTATGAAGAAACAGAATCAAACAATTAAAATTACAAAATATAAATAAAATACTGTTTTTAAATTATAAAATTCAATGAATGATTTCTGTCTTAACTATCTGAAGGAAATTTTAAAACTTTAACTGTTTATAACTAGTGATTCATGGCTAAACACAGTGTAACAATACCCGCAACTCTACACAATTTCACTCAAATTAACACCCCCCCCCCCCCCCCCCCAATTTATACCTTTCTGGCTATAGTTTAGGATTAAGTTGTCGAATTTGTGACCCAGACATTTTTAAGAGCCACAATATTTTTTTTTTTTTTTTTTTTATTTCTTTATTCTGAATACAAAAATAATATTCAAGGATAAAAATATAATAAAATACCAAACTGGCAAACATTATTTCTATTGTGGTCCAAAGAATCTTAATAATAAAAAGTAATAATTAGTAAATTAATATAATTTTATATAATTATCCTTTTCTTCTTCTTTACAGCAATTAAATACAAAGTTTTCTACAAGGCCCAGAAAAATTGTTGCAAAGGACATATTCAGACACACGGCGCAATGCTCGTGTAACGTACAGATTTCAGTGACTGAACCTGTCATGGATTAGTTTACGCCACCTACTACGCAACCAAGCCGACATTAGTCACGCTACCGTAACATTGCTGGCTCATATGTGCAAGGGTATATGTTTTGTTTGTGTCAGCTTAAAAATCCAAGTTTTCCTATCATCAGGGGAGGATAATTCCTGCTTTTTACAGTAAGTGTTAGTTGACCGAGCATGTCTGAACTCATTGCAATATTATGGGGTGGATAAGCCTACGCCTAGCCTAAACTATCCCACCTAACGTCGTGTTTGAACGTACCCTCAATGAATTTTAAAAAATGAAGAAATTATTATATTACTGTGATTAACAGAAGATTTTATTAAAGTCATACAGCATTATCTAAAAGTTTATGACCTTCATGGGATTTAGAAGCTTTTAAAATAGAGACACTGGAATCATAGAATCCATCAACAGCTCTCATAAACCATTATTATTCAGAATACCATTCAACTGAAAAACCACTATACAATGATGAAGTTCAGTTACTGTAGGTCTTAAGTATCTGTATATACATGAAGGAAAATCTAAGTATTTTATTGACAATAGAGGGAAGAAAAGCAAAAAAAAAATACTGTAAAGTACAGAAAATTTAAGTTCAAATAATGAAAACTTATTATCAAATGCTAATGAGCCAATCATAATAATATGTTGCTGATAAGCACCTTGAAGTTGTTTCAACGTGAACTGATCTAAACCATGTATTATCGTATTAATTTTTTTAAATGCAGATTGTGTTAAGTGCTTGTTTAAGCCATCTTAACAAGATTTCGCTGCATCCTTCGCATGAGGTAATCCAGTGTTAATTCTAATGGTGTGATCCTCTTCATATAGAATACATTACTCAAGTCAACCAGCAAGCAACCTACTCTTATTAGTATTTGCATCTCATAGTCACTTCCTCATCCTTGTTGGATTTCTAAATTTAAAAACTTGAAAAATAACATATACCAGAAGCCACATTCATCTCATTGTTCACATGATTGATCGACTTAAGGTAACTTGATTCTTGATTCAAGCTTTGACAAAGTATTCCATACTGAGATTGCTAACACTTACCTCATCTAATGCTCTGAAGATGAGAATGTGTTTTACTGCTGTTTGTAAGCGATTCCTCTGATCGTCTGATTTGGGGTGAACAACCTTGCAACACATGACAAAATATTTCTCAATTATTAAAATATATATTATAGTCTGTGCCGAGCTAATAGTATAATACCAAAGACTATAGAACTGGAAGAATTCCACCTCTGAATTTTCGTTAAAACACAATCCTATCTTAAAAAGCACTTTAGCGAACTATAGGGTGTAAAAGGGGTTTGTATGGAACGCGAGTTGCATTTATAAAACACATGTTCGAGTTTCAAACTCTATACAAAAATAATAGTTTTCCCCCATAGTGTGGTAGTTGTTTTATTGTGCATTTTGTTTTATTGTGTGAATGCATAATAAGGAGATTCAGACCCTTGCAATTCTATACTCTTTGATAATGCTGAATATTTGAATTTGAATAATAAATATTTCTCAAAAAAGAAAAAACAAATCATGCTACTACCATAAAAAAAACTGCAGACAGTTTAAATGATAATGATCACAAATTGCTATGAAAAATATTTAATTGATGAAGTAAAATGATTAAAGTATTTTAGGCAATTGGATCTGTAGTCACTTTTTACGCAGCTAAGAGCCTAGCAATTTTTCGCATCAGCGATAAACTCAGACAGTCTTAAAATGAAGTAGTATTTTAGACAGACACTGTTTCTATTCACTTTCTAGGCCGCTAAGCTAGCCAAGACAATTTGTCGCAGCAGTGCCAAGTTCAGAGAAATAGAACCTAGAATTTGATGCAGTCTAGTTTACAACCTTATCTACAGCCAATTTACAGAGCTACAGTAAAGCTTGCATAGACATTTCATTGGTGGCTTTGGTGCCAAATTCATAGAAATAAAGACAAAATCAATTCAATGTAGTCATAAAAAAAAATTGATTGTACTGCAATTTATGAGGCAGTTAACTTACAACTGTGCCTGTAGTCATAGATTTACTAGCTCCAGGACATCAGAACACATTCCATGTTTTATTTTTTTTAATTTATATTTTTTAAATATAAATTTGATATAAATTGGTATACTAATGCCACAATAAATGATAATAAAAAAAATAACTATACTTTGAAACAAAATAAAGCTGTTAAGCTATTTGATGAAAAAAATTACATTCATATTAAAATGTGCCCATGTGGACAGAAGTATAATGTAGAATTTCTTCTGACTATTTATCATTATTGGTAAGAATGTAAGTTTAGCTTTGTCCACACACTTCTAAGGTTTTATGTGACAAATACCTGGGCGTTACATGACATCATCATGCCCATATATGGGCATGTCACATATTTGTCAAAGAAAACTTTAATAGCGCGGACTGGGCTATATACAGTCTGTCTCTTATACACATCTAGATGTGTATAAGAGACAGGTGTTAAGTGCTTGTTTAAGCCATCTTAACAAGATTTCGCTGCATCCTTCGCATGAGGTAATCCAGTGTTAATTCTAATGGTGTGATCCTCTTCATATAGAATACATTACTCAAGTCAACCAGCAAGCAACCTACTCTTATTAGTATTTGCATCTCATAGTCACTTCCTCATCCTTGTTGGATTTCTAAATTTAAAAACTTGAAAAATAACATATACCAGAAGCCACATTCATCTCATTGTTCACATGATTGATCGACTTAAGGTAACTTGATTCTTGATTCAAGCTTTGACAAAGTATTCCATACTGAGATTGCTAACACTTACCTCATCTAATGCTCTGAAGATGAGAATGTGTTTTACTGCTGTTTGTAAGCGATTCCTCTGATCGTCTGATTTGGGGTGAACAACCTTGCAACACATGACAAAATATTTCTCAATTATTAAAATATATATTATAGTCTGTGCCGAGCTAATAGTATAATACCAAAGACTATAGAACTGGAAGAATTCCACCTCTGAATTTTCGTTAAAACACAATCCTATCTTAAAAAGCACTTTAGCGAACTATAGGGTGTAAAAGGGGTTTGTATGGAACGCGAGTTGCATTTATAAAACACATGTTCGAGTTTCAAACTCTATACAAAAATAATAGTTTTCCCCCATAGTGTGGTAGTTGTTTTATTGTGCATTTTGTTTTATTGTGTGAATGCATAATAAGGAGATTCAGACCCTTATGTTACAAAAGTATGCGTGCAACAAAGTGGGAATTTCAACTGTGCATTTGCTACCGTGGTAAAGTTTAGCCTAAATTTTTACTGTAAGCTGCTTTCTGCGAAGATAAACAAATTACTGCTGCTGCAAAACTTTTAATTAATGAAAGCATGCTTTCTAAGTTGTAATGCAGTGAGAATGTTCCATTGTGTAGCATATTACAGAGCAGGATATTTTTTTTTTCTATTTTTCTCACAACAGCAAGTACACTCACCACTTACAGGATGAGAATGATGCTTTATAAACTAACGCTCTCAATAGCTAGGTTCATATGGGATTATAGCCAGATGAAGTAGCTGATCTACTTGCCAAGTTAATTGGATTAAATCCACTAATCGCGTTCGACGTTAAGGTTAGAGCGAGATATTTTGACTACCAGAAATTCGGAAAACACATCATTAGACAGGAAGTACAATCGCATGGTGGTAATTACTGTTGATTTGCGCGCGACTAGTATATGCTAGATCGAGAATATAGGCGTAAGCTAGGCCTAGGTCTCAGTGGTTGATTAGACTGGCCGAGGATTCCAGCTGGAGGGTTTACACTGGGTTTTCCCCCAAGTATTTCGTTTAGCGCGTGGTAGGCCTAGCGTGGGCATGCCGATTTCGGGTCATCCCTTATTACATTGGCCGACCCCTTGCCCGTCCCACGAATAAAAATGTCTCTAACAGCCTTGTGGTCTGCTCTTAGATTTTTCAACTTTGTCACAACAATTGCCGATGTTATGCTATTGTGGCCTATAAGTCCCGCATTCTCTCTGGTATCCTTTCGTGGACCAGGACACCAGACTTCTGACGGTACAATTTATCTTCAACTTTTTCAGCGATTTCTGGCTCCCTCCAGATATCTATTAAATCACATTCCTGCGCATACGTCCAGAGATGGCGTTTCTTTACTGACTTTTCGGCTATCGTTTGCAAAATAAGACTTGTTGAAATTAAAGTACAGTACACGGATCAGTGAGACTGCGTCAATTCTGAATGGTGTTTATGATGGCATGGAAGCATGGAAGGTCACTTTGCTTCAATTTGATTGATGTATTCGTGACCTGTGGCCACCCGCTGTTTAATTGTTTACTGGATTTAGGCTGAATTAAGAAGTTAGTCGACATAAATTTACTCGACGGGCTTAGTTGAGTTGTGGCCTTCATCTCGCCATACTTGAGCGGTCATACTCAAACTTATGGCGAGATCTTCTAGCTCATCCACTAAAATTATCTCGCCATAGTTGGATATGAACGGGGCTTATGAGGCTTAGGGAGTTTGTTTTTATTCGTGAGAAAAATTCCTGCTGTGACAGGAATTGAACCCAGGATCCTGGGATCAGAAGGAAAGCATCTTAACCACTGAGCTATTTGTATTTTTAACCACTGAGCTATTCAACTCCACTCTGGGCCACTTATATAAAAAAAATAACCATCTAGTTATCTATGGCATTTTAAAGCTACTCCTTTGTTCGTACCGGGCTCCAGAATTGTGCCAGTGGTATAATTGTAGAGGTAAATTGTTGAAATATTAAGAAATTATATAATACAGTAATAATAATGGTCAACTTATAGCTCTATGCACTTAACGAAAAAAAAGGAAGAAATAATCTAATAGTTTTTACTAGAATAATATAATATTAATTGTCTTATCTACTGTATGCATTAATACAATAAAATACAAAGAGTACTATAGGCATCTTCAAACAATGCAGTAATAAGTTTATTAATAATAATGTCACTTTATCAGTACTTGTTTTATACTTTATAGCATATTATCACAAATCCATTGCTAGCAGTCACAATCAATATGACAATACACCATAATAAGATGAGATGAATATTTTATGTTTATGTTTTTCTAATTTTTTTTTTTACTTTGCACTGGTAAGAAAAAATGAATATTAATACATCTTTTATCATTAAAAATGATTTCTAGAGAATGTTTAGAAATGTAACAGAAATAATAAAATGGTTAAAATGTTACAAGCTGGTGTAAAAATCATTTTTTCCAAATAATATTATTTGCTTAAATTTAAAATTGGTTACATTTGATTAAGTTTACAATCAATTTCAGGGAATATATTACCAGACAATAGATAGAAATATAAATATTTGTTGAATATATTGTTACCATCAAAAATGATTAGCAATTCTGAAAGACAGGTTGGTTTCATCTTAAGCTTGGTTCAAACTAGGATGCAACGCAACGACGCAGACGCAAAGTATCGATGCAAAGTAAAATTAAAGTATTTATGGTAGGTGAATCCCATTGGGAATAGGAGTTTATATCTTTATCTAAGAGTAAAACACAATAAATAATAAATAAATAAATAAAGTAACGCAACTCGAGGGTTCTGCGGCTTCCAAGTGGGAACAAACGATGCAATCTTGGCTACGAAACGCAACACAGACACTACTCAACTTTTGCGTTGTCTGCGGATCGTCTTTGCGTTGTTTGCGTAAAGCTGTACCGATTCAACTTTTTGCAATGCAAGTGCCGCAACGCAAGAAAAAGCTAACTTGCGCATGCTCTAACTGTTGGATTTGTAGTTAGTGCTTCGGGTTTACATTTTTTGGATTAGTTTTCTGTCATCTTAGACCATCGCCCTAGTCACTGCCAATTAAATAATAATTATTATTGGTTGCTAACAATGTCGCATGCTGCTATTATTACTGTTATTATTATCATAGCTATGCTATCATAACTTGTCATAGCCTGGCCTGGCCAAGCCAAGCGTAGTCTGGTTTGTATAGAGCCACAGTTACGGTGCTCTTCTTCTAAATGGCACATATAATACTGTAAACATAATATATAATAATATGCAATGCATCTTACCCAACCATTCTTCAAAAACTATTATATTACACAGGGGTAAAGCCAGGTAAGGTGGGCGGGATGGGAGTCCCCCACCCTCCCCGTCGGGGGGAGATAACCCACAATTTGAAACCCATTGTCAAATATTTTGGGGCTTCGCCTCCCTGAAACACTTTCGAGATCCGACCACACAAACTATTTTTTCGTCCCTAGCCCACGCCCACTTGTTTTGTCGGGACATCGGACATGCTGTTGATTTATTTTTTTCTTTAGGGTAGGCCTATTACAGCTAAAAAGCAAAAATTAATTAAATTTAAAGCATTAAAAATAGGCACAACCCAGCTATGCCTGCGATAAGCAATATTCAGAACACAGCCCAGTCCCATCGACCCTACAATACATTAGTAGCCCTATAATGAATGATAATTTCACAACGGCTTTTGAAAGCTTCCCGTGAAAATCATTGACAAGTGGGAACCGCATCCATTTTGTTACGTTGCGTCACGTAAGGAGGGAGATACAAAGTTGCCGGAAGAGCATTTCCTTACGTGTGTTGCATACGTTGTGTTGCAGCAGGTTTTCTGCAAGTGGGAACCAAGCTTTAGCTTTAACTAAAACTGTGCAGGTCAAAGAACAGGTGGAGGGAAGACAGTAAATGGTGATTTTAGAGAGCTACTAAAGTTAGATATTTATCATTTACTTTAATTTACACCCACCCATTCCCTTTATCTTGGTCAAGGACACAACGCATTAGGCGAGCACTTTATATACATTGCTTCACAATTTATTTTTTTAAAGATCATCAGGAAGGCAGAAAAAAAATAAAAATAAAATATTGTTTTCTAATTTACCAACTAGTTTTGCTAAAAACACCCAGACTGAGAAGAAAATAAAAATAAAATTTACTGGTGAATGTAAACAGTGTAGTAATCGGATGGTTGGATGGTTAAATACTTTTAATTTATATAACTAGGAAGAAATATAAAGGCCTACTGCACATGATATTTTGAAGATTTCAAGGCAGCGACGAGCGTAATAAAAATAAAGAAAAATTTTCTTTCATTTTTTTCTGAAATTGTATTTTTCTTAGAAATCATAAATATTGGCGGGTGGCAGGTTCGCTAAACAAGGTTAAAAAAAAGTCTTGTCTGACAGGAATTATCATTAATTTCAATAACAGCATACCACTCACATTACTGTGAAACCTTCCCACAGGGCTCAAAACATTGTCATGACCTTAGCCACATGATAATTACAATTTATATAAAAAATCATAAATTTGGATAAAATGTTCTAAAACGCTACTTTTACAATTAAAATTTGAAATGTTTAGAAGCTTTTTGTTCTTTGAGAGAATTAAAATTTTGCATAGTACAAAAAGAAAAAAAAACCAGTCAAATGTTTTAGATTTTGTACAACAATTAACCTAGATAAAGACCAGGGTAAAAACATGGATAGAAAAAAAAAGATGCCAATCTGAAAGATACTGTAATATCCACGCTACCAGCAACTTTTGATAACTAATAATGACCTCTTCAAAACACAATATCATAATTACAATCCTGTTATACTATAATTTGCTGTAATTGAAGAGGTATAGTACAAAATCTACCAAGTGATATCTCAGTTCAAGCAAAGGGCATGTTTCAGCTCATTTTGGAGGCTCAGCCTCCTTCACTAGATGTACATCCTTCCTTTATATAGGAGGAAGCCTTGCAATTTTAAACTAATTCTAAATAGGTCAAAATTGTATTTATAACAATTATGCCAATCATATGACAGGGGCCATTTTTTCCTACATTCTAAAAATCAATGTAATGTTAAATCAGGCCTTGATAATTTGCAGTCTTGAAAAACATTGTA